AAATAGAGTCGTATTTGAAATTGTTCGTGAAATTAATGTTTGTGTTCGGTTCGATTTGTTTGAAATTAATTCAAATTACTCGAAATGTTTGAAATGTTAGAATTGTTTGTATTGTTTGCATTGTTCAATTTGTTTTTGTTTGATTTGAATTCGATTTGAAACGAGTTAAAAAAATAAAATGATAATAAATTCAATTACTAAATTACCAATAAAATAAATAAATAATAACCCTCTATATAAAAAAAAAATATTTCTTGAACTATATTATTACAAATTGATAAATGGACAGTCATTCATGCTAAGCATAAGCAAGAAGAGAAATTTATAAATGGACAGTCATTCACGTTATGCTTAAACAAATTAAATTTATGCAGTATAGCTATTTTCCTAACAATTTTGAACATAAAGTAATTTTGTCTGTTTCTACCATTAATAATGAAAATTACTCTAATATTTGCCTATTATTCTTGTCTTCCACTGTTTCAGTGCACAATAGCTGAATCACAGCACAAACGCAGGAAAAGCCGAAATAACCGAATCAAATCACAAATGCATAATAGCCGAATCACAGTTCACAGAAAAACCCTTATATCAGATCTCAGCCATAAAAAAATTAGATGTAGAGACAATATGCGAGATTTCACTTCGAAAAACATCAAAAGCTCGGTTTAACTAAAAAAAGTGCAAATAAATCTAAAATAAATTTAAGAAAATTTAAGCTAAGAGGCCAACCTGAAGATAAATATCAAATATTAGAGAAAAGATACTCAAATATAACACCTCGGTAGCCAAACAAGCAACCAAGCATGAATATCGAGCAGTCAAGCCAACGCCGACTCGCCGATGACAAAGAGGCTATATCGAAGACAAATAGAAGTAGAGTTTAGAGAACGAACGCAGAGGACAAACCCTAAGCTCTCGCAGCTGCAAGCCTTTCACGATTTTGAGAGAAGGAGAAGGCTCGAAGAGGAAGACGCGGCCGAACCAGAGAGTTTTCGCGATTTTGAGAGGAGGAGAAGGGGAGCCGGTTAGGTCAGGGCTTTGGGGTTTTTTAATACATAGAATATTATATTAATTATATCTTATATTATATGAATATATAATATCTTTATAATTAATACAAATATATTATTATTATTATTAATTTATTATATATTGAAGATTATACGATTTAATCTTTTAAAATATAATAAATTTAATTAAACTTTTTAATTAATTATTATTTGTAATATTTATTTCATGAAAATTTACTTAATTTAAAATTAATTTTAATCTATAGTTATAATATTTTTTATATATAGTTATTTTAAATTATTTTATAATTCGAATAACAACCATTCAAACACGTTTAAACAAAATTTTATTTGAGTTTGGTTCGCTTATAAAATGAATTAAAAAAATTGTCATCTTCATCCGATTTGCTTATCGAACGAACCGAATGCATATTGTTCGCAAATGAAGAGCTTTTTTGACAGTCATAGAAAGGAGAGGATAAAGAACAGAATTCTAGACATAGGTTGCGTAATTATGAAAAATAGATGAGAGTTTTCTAGTAAAATAAGTTTAAAAAAAACATAAGTTTATTGAGGAATTTACAATTTTACATGAATATAATGAAATTTTTACGTATTTACATATTTATATTTAAATATTGTTAGTTATTTAACATCAATTCAAATTTAGTTAAATGATTACAAATGAGTTTATTCATCACGACTCATCTCCAATACAAACTTTTATACGCATAATAATTAACACTATGCAATTGATAATTATGCAAGAGCTGGTCTGATTTCGAGCTCAGCTGTGGTCAAAGAATAGATTTAGCAACTCGTGAGCTTGATCCCGTTCAAAATAGAAATGAACTGACTCAAATTGAGTTATTTGAATCCATTTCAACTCTAAATCAGCTTGATCCAACTCAAAATCTAAACTGATTGCCTCAAATTGAGTCATTCAGTCCGCTCCAGCTCTAAATCAGCTGGAGACTTATTATATTAAATTTTAACCAAAATATTAAATTTCACCGTATCAAATGGTCAATTTTGTAATTTAGAAAAGGACGCAACAGTTAATTTTATAAATAATAATAATGTTAGCGTGCATAATTCTCCCACTAATATCACTTATATTTACAAAGTGAAATATATATATATATATATATATATATACATATAATCTCAAATAATCTCAAAAAAAAAAAGGGGCCAATTACTTAAAAACCGCCTAAAACCTATCATTTACAAATCAACCACTCTATTTCATCCATTTTTCAAATTCACACTCAAATATCAAAATTCATGGTAAAACCCCAACCCATGTTTTTCATTTTTATCAAATTTTCAGTAGTTTGATTGTGACACAAGTAAAGACATCAGTTCAATAATTAAAGAAATCGCATGGGCGATTAATTTGTAAATATCAACATTTCGGATGCGGGAGGACTATATTTAAATATCCAAAAAAAAAAAAAAAAAGCTCACATTTCTATTGCAGAACAATCTCTCCACTATAACATAGTTGCATTATCCAGAATATCATTTGAAAGGTAATCCAAATCCTCTGTTATTCCCACCTGCAAAAATTATGCAAACAATTTAAAATTGAAAGAAACGGGACATTTGCATACTAACCCCAGTTCCTATGTATTTACATATCTACCACCTAAAGCTTACATTTTTTTTTTTTTACATTTATATCATCCAAATCTTTCATATCACATAAAAAATACAATTATTTTAACTTTTAAGATTTTCATGCATGCATATTTTTAGATTGTCATGCATACATATATATATATATATATATATATATATAGTGATAAATATGTAATAATTGAAGTTTATAGGTTAGATAAGTAAATAAATAAGAATTGAGCGGTTTGTATGTAAATCTTAAAACAACATTGGGTTCAGAGTCCAAAACACTGAATATGCTTTGAAATTAGTGCACATAAATTTTAATTAAATATTTCCATGCTATGTTAAATAAATCTAATGACATTAAAAAGTCTAACATTCTAGGGGCCATTACATACAGGCAACCTGAAACTTGCTATTTACAAATCAGCCATTCTCCATTTTCAAATTGTCACTAAAATATCAAAATTCATGGTAAGACCGCAACCCATAACCTTCATTTTTATCAAATTCTCAATAATTTGATCATGAAACGCGTAAATATATCATTACAGAAGTTAAAAAAAATCACCTAACAAATTAATTTGTAATTATTAACATTTTGGGTGGTCTATCTGTAATTATCCCAACATTCCAATACAATGTTTTACTTCAAAAATAATATTTATATGACTAGATTAAAATGGCACACACCTCCTTATACATGTGCTCAAGTTGTTCTTTTGCCTCAGGAAAATTAGATGAACACCAATGCTGCAGTGTGAATACATTATCTGAACTTGGAAGGCAGCAGAAAAATCAGCAAATCAATATTTGGAAGGCTAAAAAACATATATTAAAAGGGATATTTACATACACATCCACACAATTCTTATATATTTATATATTTAAAACCTAAACTTTAATATTTTTACTTTCATAAAACTCAAATCTTTAACATCAACATCATAAATACCGCTTCATTAACTTTCTAAAGGTCAAATGCAACTTTTTATTGAAGGAATTATAGCGCCAAGTTGTTAAATTTGCAAAATAACAAACGTTGGGTGTTAGATATATAAATCCATATGAATTGTGTGGTGAGTATGTAAAGTTGCAATATAAAAATTAAAATTACAGGAGCAGCCAACAATATACCTGTCCATCGATTCGCTGCGGCGTGACCAACCGCGATCGCCATTTCTACGATATAGGAATATAGATTAAACAATACAACTAAGATGAGTTGATAAAACAGTAATTTTCATAAGATAATTAAGAAGACTCCCTTGTCAAGCATTATACAAAAGGTTATTAGATGTATGGCTTACAAAGTCGAATCGCCACCTATGAACCAAACCATACAATTTTTCATATAATGTAACTATAAGGGGAATTTAGAAACATACCCACACAATTCTAATGTTCTTACATATCTAACATCTAAACTTTGCCTTTTTACATCCACAACCAAAATCTTTCATATCACGTCAAAAGATAATATTATTTTAACTTTTAAAAAGTAAGATAGATCTTTCATGCATAGGTAAGATAGCATACATATATGTAAAAATTGAAGTATAGGTGCTAGATATCTAATTACATTACAATTGAGTGGTATTTGATAGTAAGGATGAGAAGTTTTCCTGCAAAAATTTATCTTAATTCTCTGCTTGCTTCCTTTTATTTGTTCTGTTTGCTGGAGTTAATATCATGATTCATATCCAATCATGCAATGGATCAAAAGAGAACGTAACATCAAAGCATAAATACACAGGGGAATCAAAAATTGACCAAACATGTCAATTTGACTTAAACATGACTCGAGAAGTTTAGGTGGGGGTTGACCCAAATAATTTTCGGATCAAGTTCGGGTTAGGACTCCTAACTCGTTTATTATTCGGAACAGGTTCAGTTTGACGCACAAAACTGAACTGCTAACCCAAAATAGATTCAAAAATGACCCAAGATTGGCTTGAAATTGACTCGAATTTGACTTGAATAGTTGTTATTATTCCTTATGTTAAATGTGTTATACATGTC